TTCTGCTTGAGGCCTGTTTATTAATTTAGCCCGTCATCAACACTACATAAACCATAGCCACCAAATAATTACATGTAGGTGAACAAAGCAACATGAAAGCAGCCCATAAAACAAACACACTACACATGTCCAGGTCAATTACAGACAACAGGCCTGTAACAGACAAAAGATAACAGATTCAGCTACCCACCAGGGCAGATTTCTGCACATGCATTTAAAATTACAGATAACAAGATATTGCACCATATGTTAAATCAACTTTATGAATGTCTTTTATTATTCTGAAAAAGAAAAAAAAAACTCAGAAAAATCAACAAAACATCTAATCCAGTTGATTTTTCTAAGTTTTTTCAGCTTACTATGACCTGGATGACTGAGAATCTATACAGACGTCTTTTATTATTAATTGTAGCATTAGGAGAAATTTATGGTTATTTATCAATTTTTCAAGACTCAAGCTCAAAACTGACTTGTGGTTTTTCATACAGACCAAATTTAAATTTAGGCTAATTATTTCATAATTTTGAAATACAAAGGAAAATGTATCCTAGTATCGCAACTTTTCCTTAAAAAGTCATTTGACACTGTGACTTTGACTTCATATCTCACCGTTTTAACATTGAAAATGACATTTTTAAACTATTTAAAAATCTTGATAGTATACAAATAATGTAACATTTTTATGCCATAATTTCTTTTTCCACATATTTTGGTATTTGATCTCCAGGTTTATAGAGGACCATTCATTCACTTCACTCTGTATAGAAATCAACATCAAACTGCACTCTCTGGTTCCAAACTTTACTGCCACTTTTTTTGCAGTCCGAGGCCACAGAAATAACAAGTTATTCTTGATTTGGAGAGTGTTTCTCATTCATTTGATTTGACTAAAATTGTGTGAATTCTTGTAAAATGACTATCACTAAAGGTTGTTGTTGTTTTAGGGGGCACACTGTTGCAGTGAAGCCAGTGAATATTAAAGTAGCTGGGATTTTTTTCAGCCTTGTAATGAGGAGGAGTGAACAGCAAGTGGCTGCCTCAGCCCACAGATCAGAGACCACCACCCAGCACTGGAGTGTTTGAGTATACAATATCCAAATCTGTCTTTTAAAAATCTCATGGGGAAACTCTGAGCTAAGATCACAATTGCAAATACACATTTTGTTTCTTCCTTTGTGCCTTATGTAAAACATACTGTACATTTATACATGGATAATGGGATACTTAAAAGCATAAAGTCTGATAGCATGACAGTTGGAAGAAGTTGCCATGAAATGAAAAGTGGAAATATAAATATAATGCAGGAAAGACAATCTTACAGCACATGGTGAAAATGTATACCTTAATAGCTAATATGTCACTTCCAGTTGTTCTCCCTACTTATCTGATCCGACTAAGTTTTGGTGATATTACTGAAACAGATGTAGCAAGATGGTGTCTCACGTATCATATTACATCATATACAAAAAGTGCTGTACAGTTTGAAAGTCTGTGCTCTATCTCTAATTTATTGCACATGAACAAGATACTGTATAATGGAAGAGTTTCAGACAAAAAAATAGCAATGTGTTTGTAGACATTATAAACATTTCAGAATAAAAAAAAATAGATAAAAGATAACTTAGTTTTAATCCTTGCATTACACCACTATCTGTTCATGAATCATTTAAAGCTCTTTACTTTGCTTCTCAAGGCAGGAAATGGGTGTTTTGCACCACCATCCTCCTTGTCAGTTCATCACCAGCTCAAAGTCACCTCAGTCTGTAAAGCCTCCATGAGCCTTAAAAGAATAGTGTGACATTTTGTGAATTATGCTTATTTGCTTTCTTGCTGGCTAGATGAGAAGACTGATGCCACTGTCAAATCCTCTAAGCCAACTGTCTCTTCAGTTAATACTAAAAAAACAAAACTGCTGGCTGATTATGTTCAGAGGCAACAGTTTTGAAAAATGTACACATTTATTAACAGCACTGGATTTAAGGATTGGTAGCTGCAAACACACAACAGTCACACCAGAGTCTGAGATGAATTTATAGGCCCATGTGTGGCTTAGGCAACAAAATCACTTTGGCCAGGATTAGGGAAAAACTGTGATGGTTAGATGTAAATAAACATGCTGTGTCTGAAGCCACTGTTAACTTTATGTATTAAACATGACCACAATCTTTCCCTGTCATTAACCCAGTGCTGTGAGTGTCTAAACATAAACATAAATGTTTAAATATGAACATTCAGCATCAACGTATTTGTGACTCGCCATATACATAAATTAACAACATATCCTCATTATGTTAAGAGAAAACAATCCAATCACAAGTCCTTTCCTACAAAACATACATTGTTGCATAGTTGTATGTACAATAAGATGCTTAATTCAGTTCGTAAACAGAAACGTCAAAACGACAATTTGGGATTTAACTTTGAAAGGAGGCCTGCTAGCTGTTTCCAGTCTTTAGCTAAGCTAATTGCCTCCTGGTCTCTGTAGTTACTGCACAAACATGAAAGTGTCATTGATTTTTGTCAGCTCACTCTCAGCAAGAAAGCACTTGTCACTACTACACCAAATGAAAAGGATAAATACAATACCATGTCCCAGACATCACTGAAAGAATCACTTTTCAAGTTAGCAGGGGAATTTAGACTTGAACAAACTGGCAAAGAATACATTCATTTATTTGTGAGCTGTAGTATCCCACATCTGCAGTATTGCAGATTCAAATGCTTAAATGTATATTTTTCTTCATTTCTAAACAAAATATAATTAGGTGGCTAATTTAGGAAAAATATCTCACTAAAGATGTATCTGTTTGTTGAGAAAATCTGATGGTATGGTCAGTTATAACAAAATAAAAACCTTTGTTGCCAACTCTACAATTTAAACAAGCGGCAACCAGCACTGCACAGACCTACAGTATGCATATCCCTGCTATTGCCATCATCCATCCATTATCTTTACTGCTTATCCTGAAGACGGCTTTTGGGGGCTGCCAATCCCAGCTGACATTGGGTGAGAGGCGGGGTACACCCTGGACAGGTCTATTACCATCATGATTACTCTTACTACTGAATATGACTAAAGTGTATTGAAAATATGCAAAGGCTCAGTCCGGATTTATATTACTATGCAGTATGTGTCACAAGGTAGTGTCATGCGGATAGAGCTGTTTCAGAACCTTTCAACAGGCCTTTTCAATTTACAGTGTCACATGTTTCATTAACCTGCTATGGCAGAAACTATGAGTGTGCTTAAAACTGTCCGAGTCATGTGTAGGAGTGACAGAGAATCTAAAAACCAGCAAGATTAGAGCCAGGACAGATATATCTTGCAGTGACATGTAATATATCACCTCCTGCTTTTTCACCACCATAAACCGCTGCCCCCAATTTCCCTGATGTTTTCTAAAAACTTCCAACAACACTCTTCCCATCAAACCTCACTTATCATTTAATAATTCCAGTCAGCTGTGTCCCCATCTTAAGATAAAATTTCTCATTTTCATGTATCACTTAGTGATGATGAATTCTTCAAGTTAAAGTAAAGAATGAAGGGCTGAACTGTCAAACAGCTTCTATTGATGACAGCTGTGTCGATGTACTGCCATAAGAATGGCAGTGTAGGGTGACTGGTCGGTCCACCACTTTGGTCCAAATTAACATATCTCAAAACCTAGTGAATGTGTTGCCATGAGATTTCACAGACATTTCATTGTCTCTGGATGAAATGTAATACATTTGGTAATCACAGACATTTTCACAAATTTTATATATCCAATAGAGCAACATCATCCAAAATCACACTGACACTATTTATAAAGCAAATAACAAAACCTCCAGCCATGGAACAAGCTAAAGAATATGTTGTACTGTTTGATCCGTATGTCTTGTTAAGGAAGGTCTTTTTTTTTACAGAACAATCTGCTACTGTTGTTTAATTTGTTTTCTAATAAACTCCATTTCCCATAAGCACTAAGGTGGATTAAATGTCACGGCTTGACAGAAGAGTTCACATGCAAGTTAAGGGTTCACAGTTGGTTCAGACATGTAAGTAACTACAGCAAGGCAGAAATATATAATTTGTTCTCAGGTCACTGTTGCAAAAGTGATCTGAACAATAACTAATGTGGTTATCAGTAAATCTTATAAGAACCAGCATTTTAGCATTGTCACTGTGAGCATTGAATTACACTGATGTTAGCATTTAGATCGACACAGCCATAAGGAGTTCCTAGCATGGCTGTAGACTCAGTTTTGTTAATTTGTCCATATTATCTTTATCACAACAAATAAATATATGACCTTTTTTACCTGAATAATATAAGAGGAATGAAAATATTGAATCCTAGTCTAGAATAGACAAAAATTAAGTTGAACATATTGTTTATTATATGACTCTTCATCTGCAAAGACAAAGTCATGTTAATACCATGGAAAAAGACAAACTTTAAAAGAGCATACAGTTGCAATAAATGTGTGTCCTACAGCCAGAGGTGGAACAACATTTGTCAGAAACAAACCAGTTCAGACAATCTGCACCATGAGACAACAGAGTTACTGTACAAAAGGCAAATCGTGAGTCCAAATGACAATAGCAGCAGTCAGCAAAAACTGTAAATAATTTATATGCTGGTGAAAATGTGTGAACAGTGGTGAGAACATTTGGTCAGCAAAGACAAACTGCATC